CAGCTGATATGTTCAAGGAACTAAAGCCATGTCTGAAGAACTGAACTATGAGAGTGACATTTCACCAAACAGAGAATATCAGTAAAAAGAAATTATAGAATAGAACCAAACAGACATACCGGACTTGAAAAGTACAGTAACTAAAATGAAAAATTCGCTAGCGCGGCTCAACGGCAGATTTCAGTTGGCAAAAAAAAAAAGGAATCTGTGACCTTGAAGATAGGTCAGCAGGCCCAGTATGAGGAACAGAGAAGAGAATAAAGAAGTGGGCAGGCCTCAGAGACCGCCACCACCAAGCCAGCACACACACACACACTGGGGTCCAAGCTGGTGGAGGGCAGGGTCCTTGAAGAAATAATGGCCAAAAACCTTCAAGGATGAGTGGATGAAGACCGACCTCTACAGCCAAGAGGCTCAACTAGCTCCCAGGACACATGGAAACAGACTGGTAACGAGATACATCACAGCAAAACTGTCAGAAACCAAAGAAAAGAGCATCTGGAAGGCACAGGAAAAACTCAGTGCCCAGTTCTGTGTAAAGGTGTCTTCCCCGGGGCCGACAGCCGCCGTCCAGAAACCACGGAGCCAGAAAGCAGTGGGGTGGCATATTCACAGTGCCGAAAGAGAAAGCCGCCAACCAAGGGCCCTGTACACAGTGAAACTATTCTTGTGAAGGAGAAATTAAGACATTCCCAGGTAAACAGAAATGGACAGAACTCACTGCTAGCACACCTGCCCTACAAGACATGCTATGTGAGTCCTTCAGACCAAAGTGAAAAACACTAGCCTCAAATCTACAAGAAGAAATATAAAGCACTGGTAAAGGCAGCTACATACCCGAATAAAAACACATTTTTGCTTTTAAACATTTTCTTATCAAATTTAAAAGATAACTGCATAAAGCAATAATTACAAAACTATGTTGATGGGCTTGCAGTGTAAACACATGTAACGTGTATGGCAAAAACAGCCCAGAGGAACTGAGAGAACAGAGCCATACTGAAACAAAGTTCTTGTATAATCCTGGAATTAAGTTGTTATCAGTCCAGACTAGATTGCTTTAAGTCGTTCACTGTGATCCTCAGAGCAACTACTGAACAATCACTCTAGGACAGGGGAAAGCATGGAAAGGCGGTGCCGCATCCATGTCACACACAAGAAAAATGTAGAGGGAGAATGAGAAGACAAGACATGTAGAAAAACAGAGAAGTGATGGGCATAAATCTTATTTTATCAGTAATTACATTAAATGTAAATGGATTAAAAATTCCACTCAAGCAGCACAGATCGCTAGAATAGATTAAAAACATGACTGACTATATGCTGTCTATAGAAACACTTTAGATTCAGAGCATAAGAGCAAAGCAATGAAGATACACCATGCCAAGAACAGCCCGAAGTTACACTGACATACAACAGAGATGTTCAGACAAAAATTGTTACTAGAGACAGAGAAGGCACATTGTAAAATAAAAGATTCGATTCATCAGGAAAAAATAACAAGTATAAACATATGCACTTAACAGAGCCCCAAAATACACAAAGCGAAAACCAACAGAAAAGAAGGAGAAATAGACAATTCAACAATAATAGTTGGAGATTTCAATATCCCACTTTCACTAATGCATAAAATGAGGCTGAAGATCAACATGGAAACAGTAGATTAAAACACTGCAGCTGGCCGGACCGACCAGACGCCTGCGGAAGAGCCAGCAGAAGACACACTGTCGAGTGGACATACAACATTCTCCAAGACAGAACGTGTGTTGGGATGTAAAATAAGTTTCAAATTGTGAAGGACTGAAATCATAAAAGGTACGTTCTTTGGCCACATGGAATGGAATTAAAAATCAAATAACAGAAGGAAATTTGGGAAATTCACAAGTATGTGGAAATTAAACAACTAATTCCTAAATAACCAATGGGTAAAAGAAGAAATCACAAGAGAAATAAGAAAGTACTTTGAGATGCAAAACTTATGGATAAAGCTAAAAATCAATGCTTAGATAAAAACATCTATCTGTAAACACCTACATTAAAAAGACAGATCTCAATAAGCTAATCTTCGATCTTACAAAATTAGAAAAAAGTAAACCCAAAGCAACACAAAGGACATAATGAAAATTAGGGTGGAAATTAATGAAATAAAGAATGAAAAATAGAGAAGATCAACGAAACCAAGAAGTTGGGCTTTGAATAGACCAATACAATTCAAGAACCTTTAGCTATATTGACCAAGAAAATAAAAAGAGAGAAGAGTCAAATTTCTAAAATAAGGAGTGAAAGAAGAGACATTATCACCAACCTTACAGAAATCAAAGGGATCATAAAGGAATACACTATGAACAGCTGTATGTCAACAAATTATAACCAATAACTTAGATGAAATGGACAAATTCCCAGAAATATATAACAACTGAAACTGACTAAAAAAGAAACAAAAAAACTAAACAGATCTATAATAGGCAAAGATAATGAATTAATAAAAAACAAAAGCCCAAAAACTTCCCACAAAGAAAAACCCAGGACCAAATGGCTTCACTGGTGAATTCCACCAAATGTTTAAGGAATTAGTACCAATCCTTCATAAACTCTTCCAAAAAACAGAAGAAGTGGGAACACTTCCCAACTCAATCTATGAGGCCAGTAGTACTCTGATACCAAAGCCAGACAAAAACATCCCAAGAAAACTACAGACCAGTATCTTATGAATATAGATATAAAAATCCTCAACAAAATACTAGCAGACTAGGTCAATGGAATAGCAAAACACTAGCAACCAAGTGCAGGAACATATAAAAAGAGTTATACATCATGACCAAGTGGGATTTATCCCATGATTGCAAGGGTTGTTCAACGTATGAAAAATAATCAATGTAATATGGTACATCTATAGAAAAAAAGGACAAAAACCACACAATCACTTCAATAGATGTCGTAAGGGCATCTGACAAAATTCAACATCCCTTCATAACAAAAACACTCAACAAACCAGGAGTAAGAGGGAACTTCTTCAACCTGGTGAAGGGTGCTTATGAAAAGTCCACAGCCAACATGCTCAGCGATGAAAGACTGAAAGCTTTTGCAGAGATCAGGGACACGGTGAGGATGTCTGCTCTTGTCACCGACATTCAACATTGTACCAGGGGTTCTAGCCAGTGCAATTAGGCAAGAAGAGGAAATAAAAGGCATCCAAATTAGAAGAAGAAATAAAACATTTCTGTTTGCAAATATGATTGTGTGTATAAAAAGTTCTAAGGGATCTTAGAATCACACACACACATACACAATTATTGGAATAAATAAGTTCAGAAAGGTTTCAGGGTACAAATCCAATCACAAAAATCAGTTGTATTTCTATAAATTAGCAGTGAACAATCCAAAAGGGAAATTCAAAGAACAATTACCATTACAATAACATCAAAAATAATAATATACTTAGGAATAACTTTAACAAAATAAGCATAAAACTTGAAACACTGAAAACTCCAAAACACTGTTAAAATAAAGAAGATCCAGATAAATAGAAAGATATTCCACATTCATGAATCAGAAAATTTAATATTAAGATATTTTCCAAAGTGATCCTCTAAAGTCAGCAATTCCTATCAAAATCTCAGCTGCCTTTTTTTGTAGAAACTGATGAGCTGATTCTAAAATTCATTTGGAAATGCAAGGGGCCCAGAAAAGCCAAAACAATCTTGAAAAAGAACAGTTGAAAGACTCATTTTCAGATTTCAATACTTGGCACAAAGGTACATAATCAAATCACTGTAGCACTGGCATAAGGATATATAGTCAATGGAACAGAACAGAGAATCCATAAATAAACTCATAAATTTATGGTCAGTTGATGATCAATGACGTTTCCAAGATAATTCAATGGGGGGAAAGAATGATCTTTTTAACAAATGGTGTTGAGACACCTGGGCAACCACACATGAAAGAATGACGTTGGATCCCTACCTCACACTATATACAAAAGTCAACTCAAAATGGATTAAAGACCTAAGTTTAAGAGCTAAAACTACTAAACTCTTAGAAGAAAACAGAGGAGTGTACATTCATGACCCTGGATTAGGCAGCGGTCACTTAGCTATGACACCAAAAGCAAGTGAGAGAATAAAAAATAGGTCTACTGGACAGCATCAAAATTAACTTGTGTGCTTCAAAGGACATTATCAAGAAAGCGAAAAGACAGAATGGGAGAAAATATTGTAATCAAATATGGGCCCAGTACCCAGAATATATAAAGAACTTTCACAAATCAAAACAAGCAATCCAATTGGAAATGGGCAAAGGATCTGCAAAGATATTTCTCTAAGAAAATATAAACAAATTACCAATAAGTACATGAAAAGATGCTTAATATCCTTAATCATTAGAAAAATGCAAATCATACCACAATGAGGACCACTTTGCACCCATTAGAATGGCTAAAACCTAAAAAAGACAATAACAAACATTGACAAGAATGGGAAGACACTGAGCATCCTTACACTGCTGGCAGGAACATACTTAATGCCACAGAACTGTATTGCGTCAACAGGTAAACGTTATGGCATATGAGTTATAGCTCAACAAAGTTTTTTTAAAAGACAAAGTGAGGTAGTTCTCTGCATTCTGACACAGAAGCATCACCAAGACGCCCAGCGAGACGTTTGGTGGGAATACAGGTGAGACCGAGCATCAGTCAGAATGGGTCGCTTCCTGCTGTGTTTGTGTTAAAGACGGTACTTACACAAAAGTGTGGGTTTTCCTAGAGTTCCTCTGAGTGGTCTCCCCCAGTTCCCTGGGGAGAAGACAGGGAAATAGGGGTAGGAGCCCCGCAGGTTCTGAACGTTGAATTGTGTATATAGTTCACCAACTCTGAACCACACCACAAATGCATGGGCTTGCAAGATGCCCCACTGGGGACATGGCTGCCGAGTTCACTCCCACACTCTCAGGCAGGCCAGACTTGTAACCCAGAGGGCAGTGGCTCACACAGCACAGGAGAGTTCATGCCTCTGGGGACATTTTTATTAGATACACACACAACACCAGGGGACTGGTCGCCACTCCCATCCTAGCACACAGGGAGGGGCTGACACCAGGCCCGGGCTGGCCTCTACTGCAGTGCATAGTTGAACTGGTTCGCAAACTTCTCATGCTTCTTCTGGTCCATGTGCTTCATGGCTGCGGCCACCCTCTGCACGGCTGCCCTGTGGGAAAGCAAAGCAAGGTGTGACGTGGGAGCTCTGCCCGGAGATCGGCCGCCAGGCCTGACCCACGGGAAACCAACCCTCCTCTGGACGCCGATGCACACGACAGGCGGACAGTAAGAATCTGCACCCCACGGCCCACCCCCTTGGAGCTCAGCTGGCTCTCCCGTGGCACCCCAGATCCAGAGGCTTGGCAAGGGTCTCTCACTTAGCAAAGACTTTTTTCGCAATGCGGGCGCGGGCGGTGTTCGCCTGCTGCTTCAGGTCGGTGAGTCCGGGGGGCCTCCTCTTCCTGCCCTTGCTGCCCCTGTGGTGCCCGGCTGAGCCCAGATCCAGCCCTGTGGCCGCCTCCACGTCTCTCATGAACTCAGGGTCCTGCCAATCTGCAAGCAGATCCTGAGATAAAACACCTGGCACCTAGCAGAGCGCCTCTGGCCTGAGCCCTGCCCCCTCCCTGATTTGGGGGCCAGCTCAGCTCACCCACTGCCAGCTGGAGACAGGAAGCGGGGGAAGCTGCTGGCCACCCCGAGGGGCTGGACTGAGGACAGAGCTGCTCCCCACTGCCCTGCAGCCCTCAGACCAGGGAGGAGCTGGCGCAGCATCCATCGACCCAGAGGACAGCATCCATGGACCCCTCAAAGCAGGAAGGCAGTTGAGGCTGTTGGCCAGGGACAGTGCCACCCACAGGCTGCTTCCTGCCTGGAATTCCCAAAGGCCCTCAATCATGGCCACCATAACTGTCTGTTGGCAGGTGGGCTGTGCAGCAGGGACAGCCTTAATCAAGGGGCCAGAGCAGGGTGGACCTTCCTTTTTATTGGGCCGAAGGTGACCCGGCCATAGGCCTTGGCGATTAGGGTGCCAGGCCACCTGACAACTCTGCTTTTCCTGTTGGAGGCCGGCCCTCTCGGCAGGAAGCTGTGCTCAGGGGAGATAAGCGTCGCCCAGCCCCACAGAGCCTGACCTTGCCAGCCCCAGGGCACCATGGCCAGGTCAGCTGCCCATGCACCGGGACTGACAAGCATTCACGGTCCTGGCCCAGGGGCACAGCCATTGGGGTCAGAGACTAGGGCTTCAAGTCCGGCCCCAGCCCTGCCCTGGCAGACTCTGGCTCTGCTTCTAACTCCAGGGGCTGGTTTGCCCAGGAGGCTGTGTAGGAGCTGTAGACACCTAGTCAGTCCAGCCTGGCCCCTGCAGGAAGGCACAGCACCCCCCATGCGCCCAGACCTGCAGGCACCGATCCTCGCTTACAGGAGGCTGCCGAGCACCCCACATGCAAACAGGACTCCAGGGGCTGGGGGTCAGGGCTGGGCTGTGAGCAGGGCACGTCCAGTGAGGGGAGAGGCCGTGCGCCTCAGACAGACTGATGGTGAAGCCTCCCCAGGCTGGTTTTTGAAGTGAAGGAATACAGGGCTGCACAATTCAGAACAGGAACGATTAATCCAAGATTAAGGAAAACTGTCTAAACAGTTTATCTCCCAGTAATAAGAAGGCGTCACAGTTTAGGGACCCAGTGAATGGAGCAATTGTTTAAACACAACGGAAAAGCGCCAGCACCCGGTAGAGATGGAACGAGCATCTCGGTAAAATGAAGGGGCAATTTAAAAGCCTTTGAAGAAAATCAATAGATGCCGGGGCGCAAGGCCTTCCTGCACACTGACGGGCCCTGGAGCTCCGCACGCATTGTCACCGAGGTTAGCGCCCAGGAAAAGAAAATTGCCCGTGTGTGAGGGAGGCGGGGATCAATACGTAGTTAGTGGAGATGCCATTTCACATCTCAGTGGCCAGCGCCGGCCGGCCGCAGCCCGTACCTGTTGTTAACAAGTCACCGCGGGCTGGGGGACCAGACACTTCAGGCCTGACACAAAAAACAGGCACTTCATTTGCTCCAGAGCCTGAGCTCACAGGCAAGGCCCGGTCCCGCGGATTAGCAGGTCACGGGCTCCCTGCTGCTGGCCAGGCTCCAGGTACCGCCCTAGGGGTCAGCCTGGAATCTAATATTTGTCTCCTGTGACAAAGGTTAAAAGCCCACTAACAATGAATACAGCTGGGCTGGGGACCCTCCTGTGCACACAGAGCCGGCCCCCACCTACCGCTGGTGCAACATGGGGCCTGCAAGCACAGCTCTCTCAGCAGACAGGGAGCCTGAGGCAGCCGGCCCTCTAGACCCTGGCCCAGGTTTGACAAACCAGAGGCACTAAGATAGCTCAGGGCTGCCTTGGTGCGCCCTCACCCACATGTGCCACATGCGGCCCAGTCAGTGGTGTCCACTGGGTGTGTCATGCGGCCCTGCTGTTCAGGGCCCTCTGAGGCCCAGTGGCCATCACGTTGCATGTGACCAGAACATAGTACTGATGCTTGTACGGGATAGACAAGCTCCTCACTGTCCTGAGAAGGACCCTCATGCCGCCTGAACCAGCTTGTCAGCCGGAAAACACCCCGAGGACCAGCAGGGCCTGTGGAGACCCCTTCCCGGGGGCGGGGCCCAGAGGCTCAGCAGGACCTACTTGGGATTGTGTGCCCTCTGCCTAGACGCATGTGCACAACACACATGTACCCAGGCCACATATACGCAGCACACACACAACCCATCCAACTCACACATGCAACCCCCAGACCTACCTGGGCGCACGGGCTGCCCCTGAAGCTCTTGCCTCTGCTCTGGGGCCCTGTCCTCAGGATGGAGGGGCTGCCCCGTGTCATCTCTTGGGATGATCTTCCCATGGAACGGGCACTGTGCCAAAGGACCATGCGGTTCTGAGGTCGGAGGGGCTGCCCGCACCATCCCCCCCATCGCTCTCAGGGAGGGCCAGCCCACACCGTCCTGGGTCACACACCGCACAAGAGGGACCTGTGTGCCACCCCTCCTGGGGCACAGGAGGACTCTGGGGACGCCACACCCAGAGGAGCAGGCTCAGGATGTGTGGGCTGTGGAGCATGCCCACGTGCCCTGCACACAGCAGATGCCCGGCTGGACAAGAGTCTCAGGCACAGTTCACAGCTCAGTGATTCCTGCAGCCACGTACCCTTCCAGGGAGGGTCCATGCACCACAGGCAGAGCCCAGTGCCCCCCTGCCCACCCTGCCCCAGCCCAGGTGGCCACTGCACCTTCAGCCGGTCCTGACGTGTGCAGAGTCGGCCGTCAGGCCTCGGGGCACGGCAGTGGTGTTTCACGGGCTCAAACTCCCCTGCAAAGGTGATACGGCGGCTCCGGAGCAGCTCTGAGACTTCGGCATTGTCCACTTCAGTGTCCACCTCACTGGGCTTCCAGAAGCGGTGCTCGGAGTCAGATCTGCAAAGGGAACCAGCTCAGAGCTGCTGCAGAGAGGCCACAACAGTCAGCAGTAGGTCGGCTGGGCAGCCCGAGGAGGGTGCTCCTGGCATAGGCCCCCCACCTGCTCGTTACAAGTCACCAGGCAAATGGGAGAAGCCTGCCAGAGAGGCCCCAGGCCTGGCAGGACACACAGGGCTGGCCTCCCATGGGCGAGTGGATGTACTGCATGCCTTGCATCTGCAGCTCCAGAGAAAGTGGAGGCCAATGCATTGAGGGGCAGCTCTGTATATGGCCTGCAGAGCCCCAGAGGCCACTGGTCACAGGACTGGGGTGCTCTTGAGGGTGGGGTGGAGGGACACTGAGAAAGTGTGGGGGTCGGGAGGCACTCTCAGCCTGGTGGCAGACCCCTCACGCTGTACAGTGCCAGCTGTCTGAGAGCAAGTTCTGGGATGTCACCCCAAGGCATGACAAGGGGCCAGGGAAAGTCCAGGGGCCTGCTGGGCACGGTGCCATGGCTGCTGCACACTTGCGCCTGTTGGAGCCCACATGCTGTGGTGGGCTTGACGAGTGCGTCCCTGACCGTTGGCTCCAGAGGGATGCACGACAGAGCTGGGCCAGGTGCCCAGCTATGTGTGCTCACTGGCTGGACAGGGGAGCAAGCACCCCCACTGGGCACAGGTCGGGAGCAGGGTGGGCAGCCAAGGACCCACAGACGTGCACACTCACTTGAGGATCTTCCCAGCAGCCGACTGCTCCTGGCCCCAATAGCACAGGTCCACCCCGAAGGGCACAATGGGCGCCCGGGCCCGCTCTGTGGCCAGCTTCCCGGCCTCCTCAGGTCCCAGGGCTGCGCTGGAGAGGCCACAGAAGAGAGGACACTGGCCATGCAAGTTTGGAGCCAGCCAGCCGCCTGCTGCTCCCTCTCCCCACAGACCAGGGCCCTGTGAGAAGCCCAGGCCTGGCCCTATCCCAGGAGCTGGACTTGGATCTGAGACGCTCACCCTGGGCTGGGGGTGCCCTGATGTCTGCCCCTCCAGCCCAAGCCGGGTGCCCTGATGTCTGCCCCTCCAGCCCAAGCCGTAAGCCCCTCCTCTGCCCTGGCTGTCACACTAGCGCCCTGAGGACCCCCACGGCCCAGGGCCAGGCACCCATGTTGGCAGGTGCCCACCCAACCAGGGGCACACACCCAGGGCTGCCTCCCAGGGGCCACAGTGGCTTGGGCAGTCGAGGAAACAGGCTGGTGCTCTGGGTAGAGAGGCAGGGCATCCAGAAATCACCTGGGGCTGGGGGCCAAGGGCAGGGGCAGGCGGCCTTGGAGCCGACACAGCTGAGCAGCCGCAGATGTAGGGTCGCATGCCGCCTCCTCATCCTTCATCCTCTTCCTGGCCTGCGAGCTCTGGTGAGCCTGGTCCTTCTCCAGCCCTGGAACAGACATGTGTCTGCTCCTAGTCACGGCCCCCACGACCGGCGCAGACCTCCCAGGGCACTGTGCTCCCACCCCATGGTGACCACGGCCCACGTGCATCAGCACACTGAGCCCTCTGATGGCTATGTTCCATGGAGCGCCAGCCCTGCCACCGTGCTGTCACACATGAGGCCACAATGCTGTCATCTCACCAACTTCTCAAGAGACAACTAGAGATGAGGCCACAAAGCCAGTGACCTCTGCAGGCAGCAACCATCCCTAGGTCTCCAGGGCAGGGCAAGGACAGGTTCCCCAACACTGTTGGGGCCCCTCTGACTCCTGGGGGCCCGTCAGCAGCCCAGCCCAGCTACTGTCCCAGGCCAAGTCCAGGGCGAGTGGGTAGGCTGTGGAACAGGACACCCGACACACTCCACCGAGGGCATGGTCTCCTGCGCCAGCCCTGCTGTGGGAGCCAAGGGCATGGCCCGAGTGGCTCATGCCTGAGGGGATGTGCACGGGGCACAGAGCCGGGGTCTGTGTGCCTGCTGCTGAGGAGGGAGGAAGCGAGCGGGGGGGAAGGCCTGGTGGGCACTGAACGCTCCCCAGGCACTGAGGGTGCGCACCAGAACAGGGCAGAGCACGGGGAAGGAAAAGAGCGAAGAGACCTTCTGTGGGCAGGGCTGCTGCAGGCGAGCAGCGGGTGGGGAGCTTCCACAGCTCAGCACTGGTGCCCACGGTACTAGATCCCAGGAGGGGAAAGATGATCTGAGTGGAGGATACAGCTGAAATGGCCCCGCTCTCCTGGAGTGTGAGAAAGACCACCTGGGCTTGCTGATGTTAGGAAGAACGGACATAGCAGCCATGCTTCTAGGACATTTAAGGACATTAAAACTGAAGAAAAATATATGGAAACTTGCCAAAGAGAAAAAGCTAATATCTCCAAAGACATGAGCATCCTGTCCACATCAGTGTTTTTAACAGCAACGGGAGTCTGGGGCAGGAGTGTGCGCTCCTGGCCAGGATGTGAGGGCCTGGAAGGCCGTTTTCAGACGTTCAAGGAACATGGTTCAAACTCACAATTGATTCCTAGTAAACCCATTCCAGTGTGTGGGCAAAGGGTGGCCACTGTATGCAAGACTCTTTACCATACACCCAAGGAGATCCATTTTTAAAATACTCTCAGAGCAAGTAATCAACCCATCATAAGGACTCTGAGGCCAGGAGGGCAGAGCGAGGTACCGCACAGGCCATGAGTAACCTGCTGTCACGCTGCGTGGCTCGCCCCACCCCTGCGCCGAGTGCCCACTGGAACCACAGCCTGGCTGCACCTGGATGACTCAGTGTGCTGGGAGTGGGCACAGATGGGACACCCGCCTGTCACATCATGTGGGACCCACACTCTGACGACAGGAGAACAGTGAACAGCAAGTGCCCAAGGGACTCTAAAACAGGTGTCAGAAAATAAACACCATTACTTTATTAGGCAGGTTATTTTTAAAACCAGGAGATGAAAAGCTAATCAAGCAAATAACAGGTGGTCAAAAGAAAAAAAAACACCCCAGCAATAATAGCACAACAAGGTCATAACGTAAGTGGAGGTGCAGTAGCTTCCAGACACACAGGGGGATGCATGACAGCCAAGTGCATGGGTCAGAGCCAGCTACAGACACGCAACCCCACTGTGTGTCTTCCTCTGAGCACACGCAGACCCACTGCATGTGTCATGTCACTGAGCACACAGACCCACCCACCACAAGCAGACCCACTGCACATCATCCTCCGAGCACATGCAGACCCACTGCATGTATTGTTACTGAGCACATGCTTACCCATTGTGCGTGTCATGTCACTGAGACACAGACCCACCCACCACAAGCAGATCCACTGCACGTCATCCTCCGAGCACACACAGATCCACTGCATGTATCATGTTACTGAGCATGTAGACGCACTGTGCAGTCCTCTGAGCACATGCAGACCCACTGTGCGTGTCATCCTCTGAGCACATGCAGACCCACCAGACATAGTCCTCTGAGCACACACAGGCCCACTGTGTGTGTTATGTCACTGGGCACTTACCCTGTCCACCCATGTGCTGGCACAGACTCATGAACACGTGATTTCACGAGACCCAGAAGGGAAATGACAGCAGGCTCAGTGCACTCGCACCCAGAGCCTCCTGGTCACTTGCACGAGCCGGGTCTTCCCAGAGAAGGGGTGGCTGGGGGTGAAGGGCAGAGGATGGCTGACCCATGCCAGGCCCTGCTCACAGGGTGCTGCAGGCGCCGGGCCACTGAGGAGAGCCAGCTCCTGGGGAAGGGGTCGACTCTGACTTGGGCCCTTGGCTCTCTGCAGGGGCTCGGCCTGAGCCTCCGGTGATGGCCACGCCCATCCCACTGCTCTGTGGGCACAGCAGACTCTTGCAGCCAACTCTGGCCCTCCACCTGCTTCTCAGCTTTCCTGGCACATGGCCACACCCGGGGCCCATGTGCTATCTGTGGAGACAGTGCTACGACCAAAAATGATTTCTCTTGTCTCTTCACAGAAATCCTTGGCCCATACCTGCTTGCGATGCCCTTCTAGCCCGCATGCTGCTCCCCTGCTTCTCCAGCTAATGGTTCCTGTGTGTGGAGGACACGATGGCCCACCCTGAAGCATCACGTGCTCTGGGCCAGAGACCCTGACCTGGCTCTGTTATCAGTGCGACGTCCTGGGTCCAGCCACAGAGACTTCCAAGTGTCCCACTCGGGGTTGGCAGCGCGTCTTCACTAGCTGCCATGGCTGCCACAAACACCCAGCACAGGTGAGTCGGGACTGGCCAGTGGCGACCATTCGGGTGGATACAATCACAGCCAGAAGATCAATATGAGAATTCTAAGAGTTACAAGAATGAAATATATCTTTCATTGATTTGTTGTTTTAAACCATTAAAAAGATGGGTAAGCATGTTAAAGCAGAGTAAATACTCAGGGCACTAAAAACACCACCATTTTCACACTGTTCTAGAAAATCAATCTGCTGACATATTTTCCAAGTAAAATCCGAGAAGCTGACGGCATTCCTCAGGCCCCAGCGCGCAGGCCTTCAGAGAACAATGACGGAAAAGCTGAAAAGAGGCCACATGCCCTGGTCAAACTGCCTCGCCAGCTGCACCACCCGTCGGCGGGCCACCAGCGCGATGGGACCAGACTCAAATTCACTCCCACGCATGCTTTCAGAAAGAATCACAAAGTGTCCAAATCCCCTTTTTTGTTCAAATTGACCAAGTGGCACCTATTTGCCTGAAGCACTACAGCAGCCGGGTGGGGAGGGACAGATCAATGGCAGGAAGCGGGGAGGCGCGGCTGCGGCGGAGCCACTGTGAGCCGCACATTGATTTCACCTAGTTCAGCCGGCCTTGTAATTAAAATGTAAATTTGAGAGCGAGATTGTGTCCTGACAGAAACGGCAGGACTAAGGGGAAGATAAAAGCCCCTCGGTGATCTTCAGAGGAAGGACTGAGGGGAGAGGGCTGCTCACTGCGGCCGAATCTACTGCAGACTCACGAATCTACTGCAGACTCACCGTCTCTAATTGTATAAACAAGGCCTGAATGCAAACTAGTGCCAAGGCCGGCCCACCCAGCGTGCCCCAGGCTGTGAGTGCAACCTCCTGGCAACCTCCCAGCGTGACCTGGGGTGAGGCCTGGACCCCATAATCTGGCCGTGGGGAGGCCGCTGGGGGTTCGGGTGTCTGGGGTGGGCTCCGACGCTGGAATGGGACCCCCAGCCTGGAGCCCAGTCCTGCCGTCACGCTGGCTGCTCTGGGACCCTGCGGCCCTCAGCCAGGTGGGCAGGTGGCTGAAGTAGCCCTGGGCACCTGGTCCTTTGCTGCCCAGGGTCCCCACAGCTCACCTGTGGACTAGGGTCCATTCATACCACATGAAAACAGCACCCGGCCCAGGGCCATGTCAGCCTCTTTACCTTCTAAGTTCAACATAGAATGCCACGTGCCTTCCAGAGAGGGGTGAATCAGTGGCTGCAAAATCAACAGGGTCTCTGCCTACCTCCCTGGGCACCCTCCACGGCCAGGTGTCACTGTGGGCCCTGGGCACACAGGCCCTGCTGGCTCACAGCCTCAAAAGTGGATGGTCAGGTGCAGGCCACGGGGACCGAGGTACAGATGAGAGTCAAGGGCCACAGGAGCATGGCGGGCCATGCTGGTGCCCTGCCACTGTGGAACAGACACCCCAGCGCCCAGGGGGGTGGGGGGAAGGGGCGGCAACTGCTTTATTGGGCTGGCAGGCTTTTCTGGATCAGGACATGCAGAGGGGTCGGAGGCAGCTTATCTTGCTCTGTCCAGCCTGGAGCCTTGGCTGGGAAGACCAATGGCCAGCTGGCAACACCTAGAGGTGTACTTGGCCACTACCAACTGGGGTGACCACCCACCTGCCCTCCCAGAGGCTGTGTCCACACCAGGGTCCCAAAAACAGCAGGGCCAAACGGCCTTTCTGCTTCAGCCCCTTTTTGGGGTGCTGCTGTGGCAGGACCAGTCGTTCAGATTTGAGGGAGGCCACAGAGCAAGCAGCTTTTCACCCTGGCTGGGGAGTGCAGAGCTCCACCATCCCTGCTGGTGTCTGGCCAACCCTTCCATGTCTGGGCCCACTTCCCAGGCAGTGAAGTGGAGGCGGTACAGATGGCACTCCACGGCCAGTGGCTGGCGTCAGTGTTATCAGCCGCTGATCACAGGCCGCAGGGAACCTCACTGCTTCTGCTGAAAGGACTCAATGCCCTCAAAGTGGATGAGCTTTTCTGAAATGCCATGAGGCAACTCATCAAGGGTGCTGGGCTTGCGGCTGCAAGCCTGGCCTCTGCTCAGCCCCCAGCCCAGAGGTGGAGGAGGAGGGGTGGCATGCAGGTCTGAGGTCTGGGCCTCTGCTGAGCAGAGGGCAGGCTCCAGAGCAGACAGGACTACACACGGAGTCCCGAGCCTGGTGTCACACTGGCACAAGCTGTCTGGTCATCTAAGCTCCTCTAACAAACTGACATTTCATCTTATGGACACCGATTCAAACGGACTCATCTGTTTTGCCACAAAGGCCTCGGGTCTTGTCTTTCTTCACTTCCTCTGCACGTGAGGAGATGCCAGGGCGTGGCTGGAGTGGGTCATGGGCAGCCCTAACTTGGGTCCTCCCACCTTCCTCTTGGAAGGCCGCAGCCCTAGGGTGCAGGTGCCGCTTTGGAAGAGGAGACAACTGCAGGCAGGAGAGCCCAGCTGCACATGGGTCAGCCCTTCCCCCGGCCCTGTGCCATAGTCAACCCGAGTCCCGAGCCAGATGCTGAGTCTGTGGCTCCATGAATGGCAAGAAGGACACTGCCTTACCTGTGACACCCCTAGAGAATGGCACCTGGGGAGCGGGAAGCTGCCTACACCCACCGAAAGGCGGCAGCTTCCTAAGATGATTCACTCCCAGCAGCAGCTGCCACCGTGGGGTCCAACCGCAGGCCATCAGCCTCTCCTCTGGGAGCAGGAGCCACCCCTGCACTTGCTCCTTGCCCTGCAGGGGTCCCGAGCACCCCTGTACTCTCTCCTAAGACCACATCCCGCCACGGTGGGGCCCGGAAGCAGGGGGCAGGGAGGTAGGTGCAGGCCCATGTGTCCATCAAGGGCCCTTGTGGCCCTGATGTGGGACGGCCTGGCTGCGCCCACAGGAGCCGGTGGAGGAGCCAGCCCAGCAGGGCGACAGCAGGCACCTACCGCAGGGTAGTCTCTGGGAGGTGCCCAGGCCAGAGAGGGCCCAGAGCAATAAAGGAGAACGATGCAGTTTTCAAGGAAGCGGCTCCACAGTGTCAGCCAGCAGGGCCATAGAGAACCTCAGGACACATGGTGTGGACTGGTGGGCACCCACCATGGCCAGCTCCCTTGCTTGGTGGGCTCAGACCCCATCTGAGGTCAGCATCCTGAGAGGGCTGTCCCCACCCCAGCACCACTCACCGTATTCAGGCTGCAGGTGGTCAGGGACGCTGGCCTCGTACCCCTCCTTCTCCGGGACCTCCACAAAGTCCTCATCATCCTCATCCTCGTCCCCGTCCCCTGGGGCTGCTGCCTGTGGAAACACCCCAAGGCCACACATGGAGACAGCAGCAGGGGCCCGGGCCTCCCTGCCCTGTAGTGCCCTTTCCCCAGGCTGAGGCTGAGCATCACCTGGCTGGGCCTCACCCCACTCCTGGAATATTCTGTCCTTGGGAATGGCTTGCTGAAGGGACCTCAGGAAGTTTCCTTTGGACGCAGCCACCTTCACCGGCTCATCAGTGTGACAGGGTCACCCGTGCTGTGCCTGAGAGAGCCCAGAGCCCCAGCAAAGCTGGGGCCACACGTCCCCTTCCACCCAAGGACTTGGAGACTGGACAGGGCTCTCCTCCCTTTCCAGAAGACCCGGGTCCTCTGCCCCATCCCCTCCCTGGGCAGCATGTGGCTTGGTGGGAGCAGAAGGTGCCCCGGGCAGAGACCCATGTCAGGCCAGAGCAGGGGCGGAGGTACCCCACCGAGTGGGTGACGGCCCTGCACACGTCCACGCACTGTGGGGACCAGGTGCCCACAGCCAGCCCTACTGCAGACACCCCCCTCCAGGGCAGGCTCAGTGCCCCTTCCCCTTCCCCTCACCCCATAGTCCCAGTGGCCCCCAGGACAGGACATGGGGGAGCAACCCCACGAGAACCTGTCCTTCCTGCGAGTCACGGCAGGAGGGCTCCTAGAGATCCCCTGCTGAGTACTCAGGGCCAGTGCACAGTTTCTGGCCTCCAGCCCTCAGGCCAGGAGCCACCCGCCCCCAGGAAGGGCTGCTGACGGGAATACCCAGAACACCCTTGTCACACGAAGCAGCCAGTGGGGCCCTTTCAAGCTCTGGGAGGCAAACAGCACACAGCCAGCTTCAAGGCAGCACCTACAAGGCGCGCAGCACACGCCTGGGCAGGTGGGAGAGAGGCGCGATCACCACGGGACAGCCAGCTAAGGCACTGGCACCCACTGCACCCCCTCAGCTGCCTGTCCTGTGGAGCTGGGGCATCAGCACCCACACCTGGCCATACCTGCGGACCCGGGGAGCCCTCTGCGGTGCCAGCTGCCTGGAGAGGCATGGTCAGATGCAAATACACTTTGTTTAGGCACAGCCCATGGCTGTGTATCTGGGAAGCACGGGCACATTAATCACTGGAAACTGTAATTTTTGTTATCAGTCTAACACTGATCAAAAGGGAAGCCTGTCTCCACCACTGACCTGTGAAACGTCCCAATTATACTCTTTGGAAATGACAGGGGCACTTAACTCCCGAGCTGAGCAAATGACGACGATCAATCACGTTTGAATAACAATGAGCCACGGACCTGAAAATTATTTTTGTATAGAATCTACCCAGGAATTTATGAAAGGTGGAAAGCAGCCCAAGGTTTTAGGGCGTTCCAGCTCCCGGCTAGTGCCGCGTATCAAACACTAAACAGAATTTATGTGTTTTAATTTTCTAAAAGGTAGATGTGGACTGGGTGCTACAATGCATAACATATAATGCTGGATTTTAAATATGGGGTCATATTCATAAAATATTATGCTTATTGCTCATACCCTTGAATTTCACCAGACTTTTATTAAATTTTCAATTCCTAAAAAATATTTAGCTGCCCAACTATTAGGAATTATACTTTTTTCCTCCCCAAATAAAATGGCTTGTTCCGTGACTACATTCAGAGCCCCAGTCTCTCTCCTCTTTGTTCCAAATTAGCAGATAAGGCTGAGCCAGGCCACACGCACTCCAGGAGGACATGCCCTGTGTGAGCACGGGGGCCCCGTCCGGCCCGTGTGGGCCCCCTCCCTGAGCTCCCTGCGGCCAGGTCCTCGAGGCAGACCTTGTGGCAGACAGGGCCGGGCTCTCCTGCGGGAGCCGCCACAGCCATCCGCCTCCCACTGGGGTCTTAAACTCGAGGGACTGGGGTGACCCACTCAAACTATGGCAGCTGGACCCAGAGGCTTCAAACTAGTGATAAATTCCAGCTCAAAAGCTTCCATTTTCTAGTTCTAGTTCCCACGAGGTAAATGTGGTTGAGAGCCTGGAGCACAGAGCGAGCTGCGGACGTCAGACTCCAGGCAACGCGGAGAGAGCTGCCAGCACGGTGTGGCCTGCTCGGGGGTCACAGCAAGCGCTGTTCGTAGGAGGAAAGCCCTACCACCAGCCAGGCCTCTCTAAGACCTCAGGGAAGCAGTTCGGTCAGACTTGAGGCCCCAGGAGCATCTGCCTCCGCTCCAGGGGCCAGTCCTTTGGTTCTAGCTGTGGTGGTAGCCACCCCATCTCAGTCAAAGGTCACAGACTGAGTCAGAAACCAAGGTGCTGGGGCAGAGCAGTGGTGATGGACACTGCAAGGGCACAGGGAGGAGAGCAGGCTCTAAGGAGGCATCGGCTTTCAAAACGGGGTCAGACTTGTAAACTTCTCAAGAGCAGTTTGCAGGGCCAAGTTTCCCAACTCAGATGAAGCACAGAACAAAACACACTCAGCCAGACCCAGCTGCCCCTGCCTTCTGGGGTCACGCGGCCCCGCCCTGCCACCCCTCCCAGGAGAGCATTCTGGGGCCCAGGCTGCCAGGCAGTTGGCCAGGCCCAATCCGCGGCTTCTGTGCTCCAGCCAGGGGTGGGTGGACCCTCTGGCCTCGAGGCCACCTGTCCTGCCGGGAGACTCAGTGGAGGGCCTCGGGCCTTGCATTGGTTTTACACAAATTGATTCTCACCCACAGTTAAAAGGATTTAGAAAAATGAGCCTCCATGATCATAATTAAACAAGCAATAAAACGGCTGAAATATACAACGCAATCAGCTTACAGAAGTTGGGCGGTGGGGCTGCTAATTATTTGAGGAGCAGGAAGGGCACTGGCGCCAGGAGCAGGTCTGCCGGCAAGCGTGTGCCCGAGACACTGCCGGGGCCATTAAATAAATTCTGTACCATCTAATTAACTTGGTGCGCAATCTCAATTACTTTTCACCCAAGAAATCACTTTTGTTCAGTTTTATGTGTGTCTGTTTCCTTTTTTTTAAAAAAAAAATGATGTAAGGCCTCGTCAGACAAGGGGACTCCAAACTGCATTTGTCTTCCAGCGGCTGATGGCTGTGCGTTTAAAACCCCATTCTATCTTATAAACTAAAAATTAAACGTGCTCAGCTGTGATGGCCAGTGTGCAGCTGCTATTTATATGCTAATGCCCTCCCTGGAAGGCCGTGCAAATTGCCCACCCAGGCCAATATCTCATGTGTCTCTCCAGCTGCTGGGACCCACCTTCAGAGGGCAGAGGAGGGCGCGGGGCTCACCCAGCAAGCACGGGCACAGGGCCCCTGGGCAACACCCCTGCTGGGAGAGCCTGCCGGGCAGGCAGCCCAGGGCATGTGTTTGCCTCTTACATGAGACTGAGAATGACCCCAATGTTCTAAAACCCTGCCTCCCACCCCTTCTCACCTGATTCTGCCTGCTGGGCATGCAGAGGACCCAGTCAGCCAGAGGCCCATTTCCAGGCAAGGCTGGAGCCAAAAGCCCTGCTCGGTCTGGGCAGGGGACAGCCACCAGCCCCAGATGGGATGGCAGCTACAGTGACGTGGGCTGGGAAGCCGAGTCTGCATGCGGCCCAGATGGACAGCCCTCTCTTTCCCACAGGCCAAACTGGAGTTTCCACTGGGTCAGGCAAGACCTGTCTGGGTACAGGCTGCAGGGGCAGCCATGTAGGTGGGCAAGGGGGTGGTGGGCTGGCCTAGACTATCTGCCCCCAGGCCAACCTCCATCCCAGAGGGCACATACTCCTGAGGCTCAGGCCACTGGCTCCAGTTCCGTCTCTCAGGCCTCCGACCCAGAGCCTGGAGCAGGCTGGTGACTAACTCCCCCTCAGTGTGACCCCTCCTGGAGGCCACCAGTAGCCCCAGCAGGGAGCCCCAGACATCTCCTCACCTGTGAAAGGGGAAGTGACAGCTCAGCTCATAGGGAATTAAAGGGACAGTACACGGACATGTTCAGCAAAGAGCAGAGCCTCTGAGAAGGTGTGTGATGTGTGGCATGGAGACGCCGGGGTTGGGCTGGATGGCCGAGGGCGGCCCTGAGCAGCAGGACTCCCAGCACCAAGGCAGTGCTCGGCCTTCGGCGTGATGGAGTTGCATAGCAGCAAGGCCCCTATGCTGGGCTGATTTAGTTCCCAGGGCTACCTGGCACAGTCACACTTCATCCTGGTTCCCACCTGTCCTCACCTACAGGAAACCAGTAAAGGCCACAGCACACAAAAAATGTGCCCAATATGAGGCCTGTTCCCCTGCTGGGGGGGCTGCCCACATGGCCCCTAAGGTGGCAGGTGCTTTCCAGATTCCAAGACCTGTCTGGCGGGAAGGCTGAACCAGAAGGCAGCAGGCGGTCAACAGAGGAAACCTCCATCAGGCGGACTGAGACCTGCTTTCGGAACGAGTGAGGACGTGTCTGCTCTTAGGGACACGTGGCAGCAGTGGGAAGGGTGACTGGTGAGAACAAGAACATCCACGTGGGCAACTCAGCCATTTGAAAATATAACCCAGTAACTTCAAAAGCCATATCACTGATGGTTTAAGCAGATGGAGTATTGAAGCTCCTTTTTCTGACTTTCTGGTTGCTGGCAAGTTAATATCTTGTTAGTTATGCAATACAAATAATCGATGATCTTGGCTAAATAATTAAACGGCAAGCAGTTTAAAAGTTCTGAAGGATTTTTATCAGTTTAACGAATGAAGCAGCTGTGGATTACCACACCTCTTCTGTAACAGCCAGGCTGGAGACTAAGTCTACCCAGTGATACTCCATCTCCGCACCTGAGAGTTATACCCAGCCTCCTTGCAAACAGCTGAGAAGGGACACCGTACAAAACAAACCCTTGAACACAAACTGGCTTAGATATTTTTTAAGACAAAACAACTACCTCCAAAGGAAAACACGTAGAAATCTAGGCAGCGCCAGGCGGGAGAGGAGCCCCAGCCCAACCTCCAGCACTCTCCCCGCAGCCCCAGGCGGCGCCCTGAGGCTTCCACCCCGTGTCCTGCTCAGCTGCCGCGCTGAGTCGGCGCCGGGCCCGCCGCCCGGAACCGCCGAGGCTAATGATTTCAACCTGTCCGTTTTGTCTGAAAATGAGCAGAGGGCAGCTCGCTGGTAATTTCCAATCACACCGCCGCAGCGCCGGCCCTGCCCGAGCGAGCAGATGAGCAGATAGGCGGCGGCTATTCTGGGAAGCGCGCGCCTGGGTGCCGCAGCGCGGCCCAATCGCTTCATCTGCAGCCGCGCCAGCGGAGCGTGTCTCCCAGGAGCGCCGCCGCCTGCTACCCCAGGCCGCGGGAGCGGCCGGGCGACTGACAGCCAGCGCAGCTCCGCAGACCGCCGCCGCCTCCTCCCCACCGTCACCCTTCTCCCCTCTGGCAGGCAGGCACTCTGCACCCACGCCCCCGGGGCCCCGGACACGTGGCCTGGGTGGGGCTCCCGCACGCTTTACATCCGGCAGGGTGGGCTGGGCTCCTCAGGCCCCGGAGCCATGAGGAGCAGTAGCGCTGGCACCCAAGGGCTGTGCAGGCTGACTGCAGGCCTGGCAGGCCAAGGCCATGCTGCCCACCGCCCGTCTCGGCCCCCCAGCTGCCCTGAGGATGCCTGCTGCATGGAAGACGCAGATCTGCCTGGGCATGTCCCCCGAGCTCCTCCAGACACACCATGGAGAGGTGGCCTTCGTGCCAAATGGGCCAGTCCTCAGGGTGCCATGACGGGGTACACAGGGACAGCACAACCCTCACCCGGTCCCTGACCCTGTCGTCAGGGCCCAGCCTTCTGTTCTGATGTCGTAACCCCAAGAGTGCTGAGGTTTAGGAATAAACTCTTAACGTGCTGGCACATGCTGACCAGAGCAATTGTCTCCCTCCCAGGACCAGAAAGGGACTATACTGGTCAAATTCACAAAACTTATTCCTTTAGTCACACACGCCAGTGAAGCAGTGTCTGGAACTGGCGAGCGCTCCTCAAACACGGCTACACCAGCAGGTAGCCAGAGGCAGCCGGGCAGGCCACACGCTGTGCGCCCCGCGGGACTCACCGCTTTGCGGGAAAGGCAACACCGCCCTCTGCTGGCCCCGGGGGGCCGCGCACTGGCAAAGCCTAGAAACTCACCCAACTTCCCCCAGGCCCCTTCCACACTGCAGCAGCGGGCCTTGCAATGCGGTGGCCAGCGGCCTGTGGGGCCAAGGACACTTGGGCCAAGCCCCAGGGTCTGGGCTGCTTCCAACTTGAAATTTTCCTGGGAGGGAGACTCACTTCCCTGACCCCGAGCTTCCTCTGGAAACACGAGGATCAAATCTACCGCCTCCAGGGCCCAACCCCGCCCTCCTGTCCCTCCAGGTCAAACACACACTGAGGCTGTCAGTGGGCTCTGACGCAGCGGCCAGCGTTTGGGGTCCGGGGAGAGGTGGGTCTGGTGATGAGACAGAGGGGCTGGATGCCGGCTGCCCAGTGAACCCTTGAGGTGCTGGCTTGCTGGGTCCAGCTACGGCTGCCCCGTCCCTGCTGGTGTTTCAAGGCCACCTTCAGAGGACCCAGCTCTTGAGTCCCCTTTGGGCATTAAGTCCAGGTCCCGCTGCAGGGCTGCAGGAGGGGCCTGGATGCCTCTGTCCCTGAGGCTCCGGGTTCCTGCATGGCTGCCTGGTGTCCAGAGGTGGGCGCCTCCCTCACCTGCTCAGGTGGTAACACTCAGGGCCAGCTCCGCCCTCCTGAACCATGAGGTGCCTATAATAGGCCACATGCCCAGCAGCTGGCCCACCTTGAGAGCCCTAAGATGGTACCTGTCCCCACTTTACCCAGTTTGGCCACCTGGGGGCTCTTGGAGGGATGTGCTCAGGACAACAGGGGAGCCCCAGTCCTCGGCCAAGGCCCATCCCCCTGCAGGAATCCGCAGGGAGGGAGGTGGAGGCTCTCCGCTCCAGGGGTGCCCTGGCACCGCATGCCCTCCACTACCGGCAGGTAACCGATGCAGCCCGCAGGCCGGGAGGGTCGTCACGGGGCTCACAGGGTGCCCCTGGGGTGCCCAGGCGGAGCCAGGGAAGGCTGCTACGATGGGGTGGTGAGCGGCCCGTGGGGCCAAGGACGCTCGGTGCCAAGCCCCAGGGCCTGAGAGGCTTCCAACTTGCCACGCCCTCCCGTGGGGACCCTGTCCCAGCCCTCCATCCGTGGGGAGGCCTGGGCTGTGGCCTTTGCTCAAGGGTCCAGGGTTGCCATTTTGAGGAGTCAGTTCCCAGGGAGGAAGGAACCTGCACGTTCCTGAGCTCCAGTGGCACCTGCCTGTTCAGAGGGGAGACCCCCACCCTGCCGCTGACTGGCGCGCCCACAAGCCTGCCAGCAGTACTCACCTCCCTCCTGCACACAGCCTTGGGTTCCAGGTGAAGCAACCTGGATCGCCTCAGGGTGGCTTCCAGTTCTGACTTCAGGCGGACAGCAGCCTCTAAGTGCCCACTGTGGCTGCCTACGCGGGTGAACAGCTGCAGACAGGAGCCACGTCACTGCCTGCCCTGGCCAGGGCTGCCCTCCACTCACCCGGCTGATGCCTCACCTGGACCCAGGAGTGCACAGCCGGCAGGAACTTGTTCTGGATCAGCTTGAGCCCGTCACGCACTGAGTGGATGACCGCACGGTTGTCCTCATCCTCCTGCACCTTCAGGCCGTCTGGGGCAGAGTGCACATGTTGCCAGAGGCGCCCACAGGCCTAGGGCAGGCCACCTGGCACCACAAGTGGGATTCTGTCCCTCTCTGCCCTGGCCACACATTGCCCAGGACCCGAGGCAGGATGCCTGAGATTCACTGCTTCATGATTTGGGCGCGACCACTGGAGCCTGGCCTGACTCAGCACTCCTCCCAAGACCTCCGGGGCTGCACGGTGTCTCACCAGCAGACCACAGCCCGCCCACCACATCCCCACTGGAGGCCCCATCCATGCCCAGCCCCTGATCCCCTCGCTGCCCGTGGCCCTGTCCCCGAGAGCAGACCAAGTCTTGGGGCTGGCAGGGGTCCATGTGCCTGGGGTGGCCAGGCCTTTCTGCAGCCACACAGCCCAGCTGCCGGCCCCCTGTGAACATACCTAAAGAGCCCCCAGGGGGAGCAGGGCACCTCGGGAAGCTGGGGAGAGGGGCCGGACAAAGTGGAGTGAAACGGTTCTGTGCTCTCTCGCCTAGCGGCGTTGCCTCCTATGTCACTACAAACACGGCAGGAAGCCACTCTCAGTTGCCTTTTCTTCCCAGGTAAAACCAGGTGACACATGACCCCTGGCAGCCACCCACCCACTTGGCCCGTGGCCCCGGGGCTTCCCAGACACTGGGAGCTGCCCCTGCCGCCAGCCTCACAGTGAGGGCCCCAGGGCTGAGGGACCCAAGAACCTCCAGGACCTCACCCTGCGTGGTGCCTCCTGGCTCGCAGCCCCCAGGAGGCTGAGCTCTTAGAAGCATTCCTATGGCCTCTGGCTAAGGACCGGGGGCAGCCTGGGTGCTACAAATGAAGGCGAACCTGACGGCATAGGGGCGGGGGGGCACCAGGAGGCTGCTCACCTGGGGAGAGCACCACCTCCAGTGAGTACTTGTGGGAGCCCAGCCCATGGTGCTGCACAAACCCTTCCTGGTCACTGTCCCAGTCCTCGTCCTCATCCTCTGAGGGGTGCCCAGGGGCAGCTGGGGGTGGCTTCTCCCCGGCGGTGCCTAGGTGAGCACAGGCTGGCAGGGTCTTGCTACAGCAAGGCTGTTCCTCGTCCCCGCAGCTGGGAGCACCAGCCTGGCGACAGGGGCCCTCCTCAGATGCTCCAGAGGCCTTGGTGGGCAAGGCGGCCCCCAGGCTTGGGCTGAAGTCAAAGGGCACCAGCAGCTGGAAGCAGCTGTCCACCTCCATAAGGCAGCTTCGAATGTCCTCACACATGCCTGCAAAGACCAACACACCTCCCTGAGGTCACATAAGAACGGCACCACCCATCCCACCAGCACAGGCCACAGGCAAAGGCAGGGCCACGTCCCAGCAGGTGGCCTGGGCGGTGGTGGGCCACACACCCAAGCCTGCTCCCCATTCCCTAAGAGGCAGTGCCCCTGGGGCCTCGCGGTTATGCAAGAACACTGGTCCCCAACTCATCTGCAAGGCCATCACCAGGGATATCCTGGTCCTATCTTGGTCTGCACTTGGGCTGGGACAGTTTGCAGCACAGCTGTGCATACCAGGTGGGACATGCCGGAGCACAACCCCTGGAGGAGGGCAGGCATCTGAGAGCCAGCAGGACACACACCACATCCCAGTCCTGCATAGGCACACCTCCACCCTGTCGGGCTGCTGCCCACCTGGGCATGCTCGTCCTTGGCACAGTGGCTGGGTGGCCTCACTCCTGGCAGGGCTTCCCAGAGGTGCCTTCAGAGGGAACCTGCTTCCCACCTTCCTTACACCCTGGCTGCCCCTCAAGGGAGGGCCAGGAGCCCAGAAGTAAGTGGGGTGTTTGGAAGCGGGTGGCAAGAGCCAGTGGGCCGGGAGATGACCACCAGTGCCCTTCCCCACGACCAGCTTGGGCCCACAGGGTTGTCAGTCTGAGCAGGGCCACAGGGGCATGGGAGGCTGCAATCTGAGGGCAGGCCCAGCAATAGGAGGGTGTAGCCAGCAGCTCCAGCCAGGACCTCACCCTCCACCTCCCTGGTGGCCACTCCGGCCGTGCCCGGGAGGACTTACCCTCCATTTCCCTAGCGGCCTGCTCTGACCGTGCCCTGTGGACTCTGTCCCAGCGTCTGTGCCTCTCCTCTGCCTGCCTCCTTTCTGCCGGGGTCCTGGCATCTACATCCTGGAAGTCCACCTGAAACGGAGACAAAGGTGAGGCCGCAGCTGAGCTGAGGGAGTGGGGTGGGGCACTTCAGGTCATGAGTAAGCATGGGGACCAGAAAGCACAGCCACAGTACCTCCTAAAAGCAGCAGCTGCAAGGAGGGAGGGCTCTAGTCAGACCCAGGAGCCTGGGAACACCTCCTGGGTGTGCCCAAGACATCAGCAGGGCAGCGGGGGAGCACCTGCAGGCCACACAGGGACAGGCCACGAGGAGCTCAGCCAGGCAGGCCTGGGCCTGGGTGGGGCAGGCGGCAGCAGCCAGGCTGGTGGCTCCACCCACCCACACCAGCCAGAGCCTACAGCCCTCCTGCAGCTGGATGCCAGCCATCGTGGGCTCGTTTGAGCAGCTGAATCTTACTTCCCTTGTTGTCATCTTATGCTGGAAATGGGCAGGGACTCAGCTCCTTCACTGTGCGGGAAGCTGATGCTCTTCCTCCTGCCCCTGCACTGGTCACCCTCAACTCGGCCCCCACAACCCAGGCAGGCCTCCACCAAGCAGCACAGCCAGGCCACCCACCTGCTTGCTGTGTCTCAGGAAGTGGAAGCCCAAGGCAAGCTTCTTGTAGGCTGAGCCGTACTTCTCGTTCCACCCCTGGATGGCCCGGGTGGCAGCCTGTCTCAGCCGCTGGGCCACCTCCCTGGGGGGTGGCAAAGGCTGCTCGTGGTCGGTGCCCAGCGTGAGCTCCAGGAACTCCTGGAAGTCGGAAATGACCAGCATCCTAAACTGGTGAGACCTGGTGAAGAGCTCGTCCACAGCCTGGAAAGCAGAGAGGCGGATCTCGGCGTGCTCCTGGCTCAGCTGCGCCATCAGCAGGTGGTAGGTGTGACTCAGCTGCTCCTCAGAAGACCTGGGGTGCAATCCAGGCTTACCGTGTGCTTGGCGCTGAGGGACAGACTAACACTGTGTGGCAACAGCTCGCACAAGAAGCAGGGCAGCCTCTCCCAGCCCTCCCCTACTTGAAGCAGTGGAGAAGCTACTGCCAGTGGCCAAATCCAGCCCCACTTGTTTCCCTATAGCCCACAAGCCAATGGTCTTTACATTTTGAAATGCCTAAACAAGTCAAAGGGATGACACTTCACATTATGTGAACATTCTGAGACGGAGCATCAGTGCCTGTAAAGCCTGGGTGGGACCTAACCGTGGCTGCTCTCCATAGCCGAGTGGCTGCAGCAGAGACTTTACACCACCTGGCTCACCAGAGAGTCACGGAGACAGTCTGCCACCCCTGCACTCACCCAGCAGAGACCCAGCCCCACTGGAGACCACCCTTCCAGGCAGCCACGGGAAAGGTCCAGGCGCTTCCATGAGCTGCACTAGGAGGGAGCTGGCACAACTGCCTTCCTCTTGTTGCTCCTCTTCCCAGCCATCCCTTCCAGATAACAAGCCACTTTGGTTTGGCAGTTTTCTGAAGCCTGACCTGAACTGAAATTTTTTATTAAAACGTTAAGTACTTCATCACTTAGACAAGCACTTAAGTTCTGTTTTGAAAATACAGGACAAGGTCATCAGTAAACCCCAGCCTGATTCCCAGTGTCTGAGAGGCCCTTGGCAGATCCCAGCAGTGGGAAAAAGGTCGTGCCTGCCAAGGTGCGACTCAACCATTGTGACCCCTAACCTTCCTCCAGTTACATATTCCAACAGTAAAGACAAGCTAACTGTAAATCACATGCTCTCCAGGAGAGGGACACATGTAAATTACATGCTCTATTCATACACACCCACACACTGCGTGACCAGGTCCCTGGCTAATCCTAATGCGTTCTCCCCTACAAACCCCCCACCCTGGGTCCACTGCCCCAGAATGCGACAAACTGCCAGAGCTGGGCCCTGCAGGGCCCCAGGAGCGTCCTGGGCATGCTCTTGGTGGTCGTTCCCAGCAGAGGGGGCCACGGGAACAAGCAGGGGCCAGCTGAGATACATGCAGGTGAGGCAAAGCCAGACCCCAGTGGAAGCCCCCCCCCGTCTCCCACAGGTCCTGGGCTTGCGGGCCAGTCACAGTGAAATGCTGAGCCCTGAGACATACTTGCATATTTTCTTCAATTCTTTCATTTTCTCAGGATTCAGCTGGGGTTCTCCCGAAGTTGTGAGTTCTTCCACCAACTCTGAGAGTTTTTTATCCATATCTAAAAATGCGTCTTGGTTTTATTGAAACTGTTTACAAGCTCTACTGTATGCTGGGCATTCAAGGGGCCCGGAGGCTGGGGTCTTCATGCCCTTGGCCACTCCATGAGATGATGACCAGACGCTGAAATTTAACAACTGGAGGTCGTATTTTGTGCAAGACCCACAAGGCCGCCCTAGTGATGAGGAATGCTCTGCTATCACAGGAGCCGGACAGCAGCACTCGGGGCATTAGGGGAAAGAAGGCTACCATCTATTACACTGAAGTCGGCTTTCCCACTTGGGACTGCGGCTTTTCCTACTGCCAGAGCTATTCGTTCTCAATCCAAAAGGCAGCCTCTAGAGACCGGAGATGTTTCGGATTTCTCTAACAAGTTATGGGGCGGACGCCCGGGGAGCCGAAGGCAGAGGCCCGCCCAGCCAAGGTACAGCAGTGCGCGGAGCAGCGCGGATGAGGGCCCGAGATCAGGGGCCGGAGCAGTTAGGCCGGGCAAGTGGGGCGCTCAGCAGGACCTGAGACGAGGCGCCTGTATTTGGTGGAGGGAGGGACCGGGCCGGGGCTCCCCAACAGTCGCATTTACGTCCTGACACAAGCTCAAGGCACACTTGTTGGCGGCCGGGCGGGAGCTGTTCTTCTGAGCATCCCCAGCACCCCGCTGCCCACGGGCTCTCCTCTAGGCGGACCTGGCCGGCATCCCTAAGCCCGGACGCCACGGCTCCGCCAGACACAGGGGTGAGCCGGGAGGGGAGACGGCGGCCTCCAAGGAAGGAAAGGACGCCCTGAGGAAAGAGGAGGGAATGGCGTCCCGGGGAAGGACCAGCGACCCGCCCCCCGATCCGGCCTCAGCCCCGAGTCTCACGGGCGGAGCTCCACGCGACCCCGGTAGCGCAGCAACCACTGAACCTACACAGCCATCAGGACGTTTGCCTCGCCTCGCCCCTTCTGGTGGAGGGCCCGCCTCTGTCACGTGCCCTAGATCTACACAGTCATTGGCTCGCTATGGTCCAGTGGGCGCTGGGACAAAGGTCAACACGACGATGGCACCTGTAGCGCCGCGCGGAGCCTCGTACCGTAGACACGCCCCTTCCGGCAGATGCCCCACCCACGTCCGGTCAAGTGTTTCGACCCCAGTAGCCAGTGGTTCTACTTGACCCTGGAGGCGTGTGCACGGGGGCGGGGCCGAGGCCTGCGCGTTGACGCAGTGGAGCGCTCCCGTCTAAAGCAGAGCGGGGCAGCGCGAAGTGCGGAAGAAAGGAGGCAGAGGGCGCGACAAGTTCTTAAAGGGCGCGCGGGGCCGGTTTGGGGCCTGCCCGAGGGCTGCGAGCTCGGTGTGCACTCTGCGGCCGCCAGGAGGCTCGCGGTGTCCGGACCCACTCCGCGACGTGCTAGCCAGACCGGGCCGGGTGGGAACGGGTCCTGGAGGCCCCTCCCCCATGCGCCGCCCCGACGGGCCAGAGGGGTTGGGGGGTCCTCGGGGCAGGGCTGGGCGTCGGGGCCCTAATGGAACGTGCGGACCTGAGGCAGCGTCGGGGGTCTGACGAAGCAGAGAGGGAGGGGCCGAAGTGGCCGAAATTCCCATGCAGTGCCCACTGGCCGCGTCCTGATCTGCCCCTCAGCTTTTGTCAGCAGCTTGCCTACGAAGGCCTGCTTGACTCCAGGCGCCGGCAGGTACCCCCACCCCTTCCTGAAGGGTATGCGCCCCCGCTGCCATCTCAGGCATCGCTGACCCCCAGACTTCGGGTGGAATGCCAGCTCCGTCGCTGTGGGGTGACCTGCTCCCGGGCCTACCGGCTTGGACTCCTACCCCTCAGCTGCCCACCCTCAGTGCGCCCCACGCCCGGGAGGGTAAAGCTAAAGGGGATGGAATCACCAGTTTGTCGCTCCTGCGACCCGGGGAGCTAGATGCCCGAACGACGCCCCCAGGACTAGACCCGTGGTCCCCACCCACCCTGGACATGCGGCTCTTGATGCCCACCCACAGCCAGGCCTTGTGAAGTGCTTACCTCCCATTCCTCTGGGTGCCCCCCATCACAGCCCAGGGGCCTCTTGGTGGGCAAGCTCCACTTGGAGCCCACACCCAGCCCTCCTCCTCCCTCCCTTCCCTTGCACTGAGGTGCTGTGGCCTCCGCCTTTGCACATGCAGTGCCCACTGGCCACGTCCTGATCTGCCCCTCAGCTTTTGTCAGCAGCTTACTTAAGAAGGCCTGCTTGACTCCAGGCGTGCTGGAGGCCCCTGGGCTTTGGGCTCTCCAGTGGGTCTGCAGTGCCCAGCACTGCACCAGCACAAAACACATGCTCAGTGGGGCAGGAAGATGTTCCCCAGAACCTGGGGTGAAAGCACCAAAGATGTGGGTCCATCAGCACTGTTCTTAATGGCAAAAGGTGGAAACAAAGCTGTATAGTGGGACTCCACTTGCATGAAATGCCCAGAAAAGGCAGATCCACAGAGAGCAGATTCGCATCCACTGAGGGTGGATAGGTTGATGATAGGCACTAAAAATATGCGAGTGGTGTTTTAAAAGGGTAGAATTTGTGGTATTTGAATTGTACTTCGATAAAAGTTACTAGAAAAAGAAAAAAGTGGCTAAGTCCTGTTGCCAGCAGCAGGGGCTGTGGTTTGCCGCAGGCAGTCACCGCTCCTACCGGGTGGTTTTGTTTTTCTCATCCTCTAGATTTTTCTCATCCACACGAAAGTGTGCTGTTTCTTCCATGCTAAGACCCTTCTCTTTATCCAACTTCTCTCCCCAGCCTGTTGCACTATTTTGAAGCAAAATCCCTAGGGACAGGTGTCCACTCATCGTGCCTCTTCCCCTGCTGTACCTGTGTCCACCCGGGTTGCCTGAGGTGCTCGTGTGACTTGATCCAGCCTCCTGTCCTGCACTTCCCAAGCAGCCTGCCCACCACCCTTGTCTCAGCTGGTCTTAAAGCAGTCTTCTCCACAAATGATGTTGGGATAATAGGGCAAACATGAGAGAATGATCCTCAACTTCCTCACACCCCATGCGGGAGTGTTGGGGGAGCGTTGTGTATTTTTCCTCGGTCCTTGTCCCCACCACGACAAAGAACTGAAGGGCAGAGACACAGTAGTGAAGCAGAGCAAAAGTTTATCTACTGTTACTTAGAGAAACAGTACAGGCCACCTCAGCAAGGAGAGGTTCCCTGAAAGGTTTGGAAAGTTTAATATTAAAAGGTTACACACTCAGAAAGTGCGGACGACCTCACAGAAGAGCACCCTGGGGGACCCCTCTTTTAAGGATTCTTTAGGAATGTGACTAAGGGCTGGGGGTGCAGATTAACTTAACACAAGGAACTTCCTGCTCTGATTTCTCCCTGGGATACCCGTGTCTTGGTCTGGGAGCAGATCAAACAGGCTGCCTGCCCAGCCCCCAAGGTGGGCTGAGTTATTGTCTGTTTGCTAAAGAGTAAGTTAAAAATGTAAGATTTTTAACTTCCTGGGTATTAAAATACAATCTTTAAAGATGGAATCCTTCCTGCCTTTTACTATGTTGTTTATGGCTGGGCGTGCATGATTAACACAATAAAGACATGGGCTCGGCTGAGGTACCCTCCTTTATCTGGGGAATATTCAAATATTCCAGGCCAAGTTGCTCCTGGCTTTTTGAGCTTTAATTGATTAATTTTGAGTCTTTTTAGTGGACTTTCTGGCCTTTTTCTCTTCCACCCTGCTCATATCTATTTTCCTGCCTAACAGAAGTAATTTGCAGTGGGCTACAGTGCACATGTAAAAGCAAAAACTACACGTACAAGGTACAAGAGAACATCACGGTGCACCTGGGGTAGGCAAGTGGTTCTTAGAAGCCTAACCATAAAAGAAAAAGTTGGTTAACTGAACTCCACCAAACGTAAAACCTCTGTTGATCAAGTGACAGTCAATAAAGTGTAAATAGGTGTAAGTCCGGGGAGAGAAAATCCCAGAGCAAAATACCCCTAAAATCCGAAATTAGTCAAAGAGAGAAATAGTTTAAAATCCATTTATTGCTTACAAAATTGCAGTACAGCCCATCTCTCTCTCAGGCTCCAGGATCAGCAAAACCGGCCCCCCTCACCTTTCAGGTACAGATAAGCCCTCCTTGCCTGGGTAATTACCCATTGATATGGAGATGAACTTCTCTCCACCCCTGAGGAGTGATGCAAATGAGTAAAGCTGTACTTCTCTCCACCTCTGAACGCCTACTGATATGCAGGTGTACCGAAGCCAGGCGAGATATTCTGGAAATATTACAATTTTACCCACAGGCAGCCCCTCCAGAAATCTTGCCTTACAATTTACTCGTTCCCCCTCTTCCGACCAATCTAGTAACATACAATAGCAACAGCAACAAAATCTTGATAATCGTCAAACCAGAGGATTCAGCCTATGCAGATTAAGTAAATGTACTTTACAGCACAATCTCTCACTAAGCACAAAATACGTTTCTACACTTGTTTACTCATTCCTAACAACCATGCTAGCTTGCTCACAAAACATTTGCCAAACATTAGACAAAGTCAAGCCTCTCTTTAAGCACTTTTTTTCTTGATAACAGCAACATAATCATAATTCTCAAGCCAGAGGATTCAGCTAGGTCCCATGCATATTAAGTCCAAAGCTCATCCCATTCCAGCCATCACGCAGCCGTTGCAGCAGGGGGCGCATCCAGGACACAAGGACTGTAGAAGCAAATAACCATGGTTGTGGGGGCTCAATTTGCTGTTATTCCAGGCATACACAGGAGGCCAGCTTCCAGGCCTTTTCCCCAAGGTGCCAGAGGAGCTAGCAGTCGCTGGTCCATGTGTTGAAATGTCCAGGGCCACATCCATTTTACTCCTAATTGCTGCACCCATCCTTGCAACGCCATGTCCAATAAAGTGGGTGCCTTGATCGCTCTCAATCACTAGCGACTGGCCATAGGCTGTAAAGAGATGCTCTAGGCCCCTCTTGGGGGTTTGCTGATCTACACAACGTGCAGGGCACTCCTTCCAGGATCGGCTGACTTCTTCAAAGGTCAATGGCAAGCCCCACCGACGGGCCCACATTATGTTTTGCCCCACATGCAACAAACACTGATGTAGCCATTCGGCCACATCAGAGGCAGGCTTTCCTTCTAGTCAGTGCACCTGGGCCAATTGTCTGCTTTACCATTCCCTGGGGATGCCAAAGGCAAATGGCCAGTCACGATAGACGGCAGGTGTCTGTGCCACACCACTCCATGGCCTTTGGGTCCAGACTCACACCCACCCTGTGATGGGAGGTGGTTATTACCTTGGTGGGAGCTGTTCCTGTGATGGGCTCCATAGCCAGCAAGGCCTGGTACACCGCAGCCAGTTGCTTCTCTGTCAAGGTGACCCGGACCTCTGCTCCTTTCCATAGTTGTGACCAGGGTCCAGTGTCAGGAGGAGCAGCAACAGTGGCAGAAGCAGTAGCCTTAGGCTCGGGCCACGGGCTGGGGTCTACATGGCCAGCAGCGGTGGTGGCGTCTCCACAACCACACGAGTATGGAGTGTAGACACATGTCCCTTGGCATGAGCGCCATTTCTCCCCATCATTTCTAAGGGTGGCCCTCCCAAAGGTTGCACCCATTATAACAGATTTTGGGTTCAGAGGAATCCTACTGGCTGCGCCAGGTGTAAATCCAGGGAGAGAATCCCGGGGCAAAATACCTCTAAAAACCAGAATCAGTCAAAGGAGAGATCCATTTATTGCGTACAAAACTGCAGTCAGGACAATCTCTCTCTCAGGCTTCAGCAGCAGCGAAACCAGCCCCTCTCACCTTTTCAGGTACAGATAAGCCCTCCTTGCCTGGGTAATTACCCACTGATATGGAGATGAACTTCTCTCCACCCCCGAGGAGGAATGATGCAAATGCAGTAAACCATACCTCTCTCCACCCCTGAACGCCTGTTGATATGCAGATGTACTAAAGCCAGGCGAGATACTCTGGAAATATTACAATTTTACCCACAATAGGTAATTGACAAAGGATGTGTATCCTGGATATATAATGAATTTCTGCACATCAGGAAAAAAAGATAATCCAATAAAAAGTGGGCAGAAGATTTGAACGGACAGGTGAGCAATCAGCAGGAGCTCATACTCTTGGGCCTCAGGGAGATGCGGAGGAAACCTGCGCCCCCAGGCAGCTACCTGAAGGTCAGCAAGGCAGTGGAGCAGCCAGATCCTCGGCAGGGGTGCCCCTTTGGGAAAACCTGTTGCAGCTCCAGACAAGGCACCACCACAACCCTGCAGATGTACTGCTGGATACTAGCCCCAGAGAAAGGAAACCATGTGGCCAGTGCTGTCACAACTTTATTCTTAATAGCTTAAAATTGGCCACTGTCCATCCAGAAGAGCCCAGATAAATGAGCTGTGGTTTCGTGGGATGGATGTTCCTCAGGGACACACAGAGGCCCACAGTAGCAACGTGTGGGTGAAGGTGTTTACTGAGTGGAGCCAAGTTAGACCCGAAAGGGTATGACCCGCCCATGCCAGCTGTCCGAGCAGGGACTGCGGGTGGGGCACGCGTGACCTGGGAAACAAGGCCTGCACCCTGGGGTCAGGGCTTGCCGGGCACTTGGCCGTGGTGGTTACATGTGTGAACGTTTATCAGTATTCATCATATTGTTTACTTAAGATCTGTATGTTTCAGTGATGCAATTTTTACCTTGATTAAAAAAACTCACAGTTGGCAAACACAGCCATGTGGGTAAAATTGTAATACTCCCAGAATATCTCGCCTGGCTTTAGTGCAGCCGCATATCAACAGGAGTTCAGGGGTGGAGAAAAGTATTGCTTTAGTACATTTGCCTATCAATCGGCTTTCCTCAGGGGTGGAGAAAGTTCATTTCCATATCAATGGGTAATTACCTGGGCAATAGAGGGCTTATCTGGACCTGAGAGGTGAGGGGGGTGCTGGTTCTACTTCACAGGAGCAGGAGAGAGAAGCATCCCCAGACTGCAGTTTCTAAGCAATAAATGGGTTGTAAACTTTATTTCTCCTTTTGACTAATTTGGTTTTAGAGGTATTTTGTCCCGGGATTTCTTCTCCCTGGGCTTACAGCCATCAGTGTCTGAAAGACCCCAGGGCCCAGCACAGGTGCTAAGGGGACGGAGTGGGGGAGGCACTGAGCTGGCATGGCCATTTGTTGGTGGCGTCAGCTGCAGTTAGATGCTGTGGGTAAAACTGTAACATTTCCAGAACGTCTCGCGTGGCTTTAGTACACCTGCACATCAACAGGTGTTCAGAGGTGGAGAGAAGTATGGCTATAGTGCATTTGCATAATCCCTCAGGGGTGGAGAGTTCATCTCCATATCAATAGGTAATGACCTGGGCAAGGGAGGGCTTATCTGTACCTGAGAGGTGAGGCGGGGATCAGTTTTTGGCTTCTGCTAGATCAGGAAAGAGAGAAACGGCCCAGACTGCAGTTTGTGAGCAATAAACAGATTTTAAACTTTATTTCTCCCTTTGACTGATTTCGGTTTTTAGAAGTATTTTGCCCTGGGATTTCCTCTCCCGGACTTACAGATGAACACCCAGCAACGCCTCCCCTCGGCATCTTCCCACGTAACTGCACGAGTCCAGCAAAAATCAGCACAGGAGCGCTGGTGGCGGCGGCACCTGGAACCGCCGAATGTCTGTCTGCCTGCGCGCCGGTGGCTGCTCCCTGTGATCATCTATTCGAGGGGCGCTCGCGGCAAGGGACGGGACCAGCCAGGGCCACCCACTGGGGGCCGCCCCTTTCAGGGCCCTGGAGAGATGCCTGCGGCGCTCGGCCCACGAAGTATGCCCTGAGGCACCTGGCAGGGCGGCCGGTCGCATTGCCCGTGCGCACGCCTTGTAGTTTCACTGTCAGGGGGCAAGACAGGGAGGGGCAGGCAGAGGGTGTTCGCAGGAGCTGCTATCCCCGGGAGGCACCCCGCGCGCCTGACCCTCCCGCGCTCTGAGCCAGGATCTCCGGTGGAACCCATGTGTGTGCCGAGGCATAAACAAGCAGCATGGGGCAGGGGCAAAGATCCCTGCAGGACGGCCCATCTGACAGTGCGCCCCTTTGTTTCCCCCAAAACAGGGTGTGGCGATGACCAGAGGCTGTGGTGTCTGGGGTGTGCAAGGTGGACCCCGGGCACAATGCTGGGAGGGCCTGGCGGAGGCAGGAAGCCGCAGCAGCCAGTGACCAGGCCAGTAGGGCTGCAGAAGTGAGCCAGGCAGAGCGGGACCTGGCAGCCAGGAGGTGAGGGAAGTGGGAGGCTGGGCTTGAGGGGGTGGCCCGGAAGGCGAGCAGCCTCTGTGGCTTTGGCATGAAGCATGTTAGGGGCAGCTGAAGAGGCTGGAATAGCACCGAGTGCGGGGCAGCTCTGAGCAGCGCCCCGTGCCATCAGGGTGGGGGCTCAGTTCCGCTAGGGGTCCAGTTGACACCCCTCCTCTTGGCCTCTCTGCAGCGCCACCCTCCTGAGGCTCAGCCAGCAGATCTGAGCATCAGAAGGGCTTTGGTGGCCTGGCATGGGGACAGGAGGGTGGTGCACGGTACCTCCTCCTAGCCTGGGCACCTACTCAGCATGCCCGAGATGCCCGAGAGTCCCCAGGGGCCCCCAGTTGGCACCCGGCTCCAGGGTGGAGCCACGGAGCACAGCTGTCCTGACACCAGAGCCGAGGGGCTACATGCTGCTGACCAGGGGGCTGGGCCTGAGAGGCGTGTGGTGGCTTCCACCTCACACAGGAATAATAGAAAACCCTTTATTAGCCTGTGTTACATGTACAGTTTATTAGATGATCAACATCGACATGCAAAAATAAGCACTAAATACAAACCTCTACACACAGTCTCATATAACTACAATGGTTCGCTGACTGATGTCCCTGGGGGATCCTCAGCTGGGCTCCCCGTTTTTGTGATGAATGGTGCTTAGGCTCAAGTTACAGAGCCATCTGGCAAGGCCTCTGCAGGGACTCAGCCGGGATTCCCATGAATACATCCTCAGGCAGGGAGTAAGGCGGCACGGACGGGGCACTGAACCTAACGGCCGACGTGTGCCGTGGCGGGCAGAGCCACCCTGGAAGCAGCCCGCGGGACACGGCACCAGGCAGCAGCTCTACAAAGCATCCTGACGTCCCTCATGGCCCAGCATCATGGTTCACTGCAGTGGAACCAGCACAGCCACACCCGCTCCAGGCCCACAAGGGAGCGGCCTGCCCTCCGGAGCACTTGTGAGCGAAGGGAGAGACAGAGCAGGGGGTGACGGGTCCCTGTCCTCGGGTGCGTGCAGGACCCCCTGGCACTGAGCCACCTGCCTGAGAGGCGAGAGCAGTTTCAGAAGCATCGAGAGGTGACTCAGGCACAGAATCCTACCAAGCGCCGTCTTCGTACAAACATGTGAAGTCTTACTTCCTCTCTTCCTAAGAGTATTTATTGGTGCTCGCTGATCTTTGGTCGCAAGGAACAGACACGCAGGCGGGCAGGCGCGGGGGCCAGGAGGGGCCTTCCGGGCGCCCTGGTGTGCAGCGACGACGCCTACATGATGTACACTTTCTCGGCTTGGGAGAAGTGGAAGACTTCTTTGGTTCTCGGGCAGACAACTTTGTCATCTTGGCGGATGGACAGCAGAGACTGGAAAACAAGGCAGATGCATTAGAGGAGCACAACGAACGTGGCTGAGACTCCTGTCCAGCCTCACGAGCCCCACCAGGAACCGCTTGCTGTGTCGAGGCGCCTTGTCAGCGAGCCTGGACCGCTCTGCTCAGGTAGCCGGCGCACCGGGCCCCACCCACCCCTGCCCAGCCCCTCACATTGTAGCCGTAGACGTAGCCGTTGGGCAGCATCATGGGTGGGTTGTTCTCGTTCATCACATCACCCGAGATTTTGCAGACCAGACGCGAGTTGGCGCAGTGGGCCATGGGCAGGGGCTGTGCCAGCTTGTTCAAGGAGCGGCTGCACACAGGGCAGTCGGGGCTCTTGGAGCTGCTGTCCTCCTTGTAGCACTGCCTGCACCTCAGGTCAAGGAAAGGCCACGGGGTCTTGGGGAGACGACCCGGCGACCCAGCAGCACAAAGCGGAGTGTGCTTTCGAGGTGGAGAGACACTGCGTTCAGCAGGAAGCAGCCCTGCTGAGGCCTCCCCGCCGGGCGCCGTCACCCACCCGTCCCCGGGGCATCCTCAGGGGCTCTGAGAAGGCTGCAAGCTGGAGAACCGGCTCTTCCTCTCAAAAGCACTCCACGCAGGCCGCCAGGGCTCTTGGCCAGCTCTGCTAGGCACCACAGGGGCCCTGGATAGTCCCCGCCCTCCTAGGCTCTGCCACATGCAGGGCCGGCCCTCCAAGCCCAGTGTTGGGTGAAAAATGGCAGGGGTCCTGATGGGGAACCAAGGGGCACCCTTCAGGGGGATGGGGCCTGCCAAACTCGACCGACGCTGGGGCCAGGAAGCCCTAGCTCTCTGTGATGGGAAGGCTGCTATCCAGCCCAAGACGTGATGGCATTCTGTGAGCTCCCTTGGGGACAGAAGCCAAGACTTGGCTGGGACAGCGAGGGCTCAGACCAGCCATAGTTCCAGAGATTCCTGGAGTCACACGGGAAAACCAGTCTGAATGGTTAAAGTTCCAGCTGGTCAAGATACCCAAAGGTCTGCTTGTGACTGACATGCAGCTCACCTGGCCACATCTGGGAATGAGGCACAGGGTGGTCTCAATGGGGTCTCCACAGACCAGTGAGAAGCCTAACCAGCGGCAGCCCGCCCGGGTCTCAGCACACAGGGACCACAGCACAGGTCTGCAGGCAGGAGGGAGGGGCGCCTGCTTCTGGGAGGGGGTGGACGCTGATAAGGAGCAGGACCACTGAACGAATGTGATGGACGGGCTGAGCGCACGGCTACTCGCCAGGGAAGGATACGGTGTCTTTATCGCCGAAAGGCCTGCCTGCAGCGTGAGGGTGAACACAGAGTTGTTCCCCAGCTGGTGCAGCCGGTAGTTGTCATATCGGAATTGCTGGATCAGCATCCGCCACCGGGCCGGGTCCAGCAGGTCCTAGAAGAGACAGGGCAGAAGGGCTCGGGGATCCTCCCAGGGGACAGCTTAGAAAAGCAGGCAGCCATCACTGACAGCAAACATGTGAACCCGATTCTGCGCAGACCAAAAGCAACAGGACAGATGGCCCCAAGCCCCACCCACCCACCAAGGCTGCACACAGGCCCCGGCTTGGACTGAGTCCCACCGGGCCTTGGGAACCCTGCCTTGCTCCCGAGCAGACAAGCACAAGAAAGGCAGCCTGGAGAACAGCTCAGCACTGAACGTGGCTGAAGTGGGAACTCTCATTCCAGAAAATGTGCTATGGTGGGAGGCATGCCTCCACCCCCACAGGAGAAAGCTCAGGGCAGAAGGCGGATGGCTCCTGTTTGCTCCTAAGTCACCCAGGCTGGGCCTCCAGGGTGGGCGGGGGCCAGACACACAGCAGGATCTTGCACACCCCTTGCGTGAGCTGCTGGGTTAGAGTTTAGGGTGTATGCCACATGCAGCCCCAATGTTAGTAAGTCCGCGGGGGGGTTAGGCTGCCAGCCCAGAGGTTCCCGTGGCTCCAGCTCTGGTCATGCCTCTGAACAAAGCTTCTGTTTCCCTCAAAACCCCCGCTACCAGGGCCAGGCTCTGCAGCCCCAATGAGGTCCCTGCTTTCATCATGCACCTCCAGTTCTCACTGCCCAGGCACACTGCCCTTCAGCTCTTCAGCCTGCTGTGCCCTCCCATTTCCTTGGAGCCCAGCTTCACTCGTGGGTCGCTTGGTCTTTCTTTCGTGTAGCTGAATTTCCCTGACTGCCATTCACAGTTAGGCAGCCAGGTGTCACGGGCAGTGCACTGTCATCCGGCCAGCCTTGGCTCCAGGCAGGTGGGCAGGCACAGCCGTCATGATGGGGAACCCCCAGAGGTAGAGAGGTGCCTGCACTGCGGCCCTGGGTTCTCTCCATGCTGGCACAGGGCCAACTCCTGGCACAGCCTCTCCTGTCCTCGGGGTGCACAACACCACAGCTGTCTGGCTCTGTGCTGCCATGCTGCAGGGCCCCCTCAGGGACACACAGGCTCCACACCCCCCTGAGCTGATGCTCACCACCAAGAGCAGGTCAGCCTTTCTCAGTGTTAACAAAGCTTCTACAGGGCAGGGAAGAGAAACAGGAAAGGCCATGAGCTAAAACCTGAGTTTGAACTCACTACCTGCAGATCTCCATGACCTGATAATTTATGGCAAACTACTTTCAAACAAAGAACTGTGAATGCAGTTGAGGTGGAGAAACTTCCAGCCACCTTCTGAGAGGCCAGCGGCCAAGTGCTCTGGGTCACAGAGCTGGGCTACCCAAGGCTGCATGCTCACAGCCCACAACACCCCTGGAGTGGGGGGCCTTGCTCCATGAGGAAGAACGGCACCCCTTCTCTGGGCACTGGGGCTGACCACAGCGGGTAAGTGCTGTCATCTGAGTGTCCACGTCCCTAGTTCACATGCCAAGATCCTCATTCCCTACATGACGGGGCTGGGAGGGGCACCCTGGGAGGAACCAGTGCCTCTGAGATGGGAGAGCTCCCTGCCCGTCCTCCACAAGAAACCAGAGACCCAAAAGAGAGCTGCTTGGACCAGGCCGCTCCCTTGCCTCGATACCCAGTCTCTGGAACTGAGAAATACATTTCTGCTGGTCATAAGGCATCCATCCCATCTGTGGGGTTTGTCCCAGCCGCTACAGCACAGGAAATCGATGCCAGCAGCAGGGCTGCGCTGTGACAACCCTCCACGTGTGGAAGCGGCTCTGGAAGGTAATGGGCCGCGAGTGCCTGGCTGGTGAGGGCCGGAGGCATGGGCCGGGAGCCTGAGTCCTCAGAGGGCAGGCGAGGGGTGGGCCCAGGTCGGAGGGCTCGGATGGGGTGAGGAACATGTCACGGGGCCCAGGAAGGCGTCCTGCTACCAGGCGGCACGAAGCTGGCAGCACCGTGCTGGTGTCCTGGGTCTCGGGGAAGCCAGAGCCCGTGGGCACAGTGGGGAAACCCGGCTGTGATGTCTCCTCCCAAGTGCCGCAGAGCAGCCGCTCCCCCTCGGTGTTTGTGGGGAAATAGGAGCAGAGGGACGACGCAAAGACGGAACATGAACAAAAGGAAGCAGAACTTGGATTTTAAAAGTTCTGTCCATGTTGCCCAGAACGTTGTTCAGGAGAGGCCCGAAGGGCTGCAGGAGACCCTGGTGGGCTGGGCTGGATCAGGTCAGCAGGATACCCGCCAGTGTGAGCTGCACGGGGAGAGGGAGGGACACAAGGTATCACAGGACGGGGCCACAGGCCATGTGGCTACACACATGAACATGTTTCAAGACCAGGGAGGAGGGACCACAAGCGAGACTGATGGGCAGGGATGCCCCAGGCTTCAAAGTGGGGGCCAAACCCCAGTCTCCTCAGGCTGGATGACCTACAAACCATGGGCTGGCCAGCCGTGCTGTGTGCCCATGCCCCTGCGCAAGCCTCACGGGGACCAGCAGGTACAGGAGCGGGGGCCCCTGAGGGCACAGGACAAGCCCAGCAGTCCTGGCGTGGGGACGGGGAGGACGATGACCAACAGCTCAGGCAAGGAACACCACTGGCATGAGCACGCAGAGCAGGGGCAAGGGAGGGAAGCAGGCAGGCCCTGGAGCTGAGGCCCTGGGCTCTCGGAACGGAAACACTTTGTGTATTTTCTGACCCAAATTTCTTACCAGCAAAACAAATTAAAATGGGAAAAGGCCTGCTTGGCGTGCTGGTCACACTGAGTGTGGAGGTGGCCACAGACAGACCCATGAGCCCTGAGGGCCCGCAGGCCCCAGTTACCTTGTAGGGGGAGATGTGAGTATCCGGTGGGAAGGCCAGCATGCCCATGACCTGGCGGACTTCATCCAGTTGGCTCCCTTCAGCCTGACTGAAGTGTTTTCTTGCATGTCTAAAAGATAACATTTTGGTTTACGTAAGTTTTGCAATTTTCATCTTTAGAATCTGAGCTCCTACACCAGGGCCTTGGAACCAAGGCTCAACACAAGTGAGCCCCCACCTGTGTGACCTGGGCCAGGGTCTGCCAGGAGATTGGTTCTCACCAGGGGCCTCACCCCGACCTCCTCAAGGGGATGGGACGGAACAGGACGCAATGCACCAGGGATAGAATCCCACTCAAAAGCACCCAGCAGTAGCGACCAGCTCTTCCAAGTAACCCTGGTCTATACCAGCGACTACCCTAGGGACACTGACCTCCAGACGCCCGGCGCCACCCACATGGCCCAGGGGAACTGAGTCGTCCAGCCCTCCCCGTTTTGCAGTGATTCCCCACCCCACCTCCGAAGCTCATCCAGGTCCACAGATGGGACCCTCAGCCCAGGCACGAGTGGAAGCTATGAGTGCTGAGCCTCCCAGCAGCCATGCCCACCAGCCACCCACAAGGGATGCAGGCTCCGCTGGACCCCTTGGTGCCACTGTGGTCAAGCACCTCCCTGCCCAGAGTGCAGAGTCTAACTGCGCAGGAGCCTCAGCGGAGCTGTGAGACCCCCACACTCAAGGGCCACCTCTACCCATGGCTGGACAGGCATGAGACTAACACCCAGCTGCCCTAGGGGCTTCCACTCTGGGGACACTGCACTTGAGAGGGGCTGAGCTGGAGGGAGGCCAGCTCACGTGGCTGTCAGGCCCCGCCCCTTGGGGTTTTCCAGTGGTGCACCTGCCCCAGGTGTGCCAAGGAAGCCCTGCATGCCATCACTGTTTCCTCTGATGACCATGACAGAACCCCCCTCACCCCCGTGAAAATGACACTAGAGCCAGACTGCAGAGCAGCCACATCAGGGCCTCCCAGCACGCTGTGGGCCTAGGGTGTAGGCATGCTCATGGCCTTCTGGCTGCAGGTCTCACCCCACTGCCGGGAGACAGGCAGGGAGAGCGCCCAGCCAGCCAGGATGCCCCACGCTGCCCTCCCCAGAGCCCAGGTCGTGCGAGGAGCCATCCCAACTGCGTACCTCACGGCGTCTAGTCTCTTGTTCTGACGGATGAGCTCGATGAACTCCTGGATCCTTAGGCTGAACTCCAGGCAGCTCTGAGGGTGCAGAGACAGGGGTGCAAACGGCGTCACTGCAGCGCCATGCCCAGCAGCAGACCCACTGGGTGCTGCCGGCCCATTCCCGGAGCTCGAGCTGCCGGGGGGTAAGTCTGAGGCCCCACACTTTCTTGGCTCTGCCAGCCATGGGTGCGGCCCATCCCAGTGCAGCCTCTCTCAATGGTGGGGGCTCTGCAACCTCAGGGGGAGTGGGCACGACGGGCATCACCGGGGGCAAGACAGCCTGAGTCACTGCAGCCTGTGGGGCAGTCAGCAGTTTTGAGGGTGTGAGACACGACTTCTGGGCACTGCTAGCAGCCGTGTGACAAGGCCCTGCCAGGGTGGGGGGTGCTGTCAGGACTGTCCTCAAAGCTGTGGCTGAGCACCCACTCAGAGCTGACTTCTTTTCCCCTGTGCTGCCCTTCTCTAGCGCCAGCCCTGAAAGGGTCTCACCTCAAAGGCTCAGAATCAGTCCATGTGGCCCTGCCCACTCTGACCTGCTCAGTTTGTCCCACTGGGCCAGGGATGCTTTGGGAGAGACCATCCCCACGGTGAGTGAGCTGGAGCCGAGGCCCCGCGGTGAGCGATGGGGCGGGCAGGGGACCTGGACAAAGGCTGGTTCCTACACAGGCAGATGCCCCAGGATGTGCTGGGCATGTGAGGTGGGGTGGGCCAAGGTCCAGCTGGGTGGCGTCTGTTTAAAGGCTCCACACAAGTCTCTGAGGGGACGCTAACAGGGTGCATGGGAGCACAGACACTAACTGTGACATCTTAGCAAATCAACCCAATTTGGGCTAAAGCTCTTATGGCTGGGGTTAGGGGCAAGCAGGCGAAATGAACCTGGTAACCTAAGGTGAAAGCTGGATTATTCTACACAAGTGGTAACTTAAACTATTACTATCTTCAACAGTTTCAGACCAGAAACAGAGTATGTGGATTAGGACACAAGAGGCAGATCTCACTCATCTGTCATGTGACTTCCACAGAAACCGACCCTGATGCACATGAAGGATTTTCTACATGGCACGTCAACCCCCTACGTCTGCAACTTAAACTCAGTTTGCTAACCACATGCACATTTCCCACCCAAGCCTCCAAGCGTACACCTGGCATTCTGAGAAGTGTCTCAGCCAGGCCCCTTGGAGAATACCCTCCAAGCAGCCTCCAGCTCACTCCAAGGACAAGGGGCAGAGCACCGGCTGGGGTGACTCAGACCCCCAGGGACCTGCCAGGGCATCAGAGGCAGGATGAAGGTGCAGAGAGCCACTTACCTGGTGCCCTGTACGTCCACACCATTGTGCCAGAGCAAGGAGGCTCTCCCTGCCCTCACCCCTCCTCCCTGTCCCTCCACATGGGGACCTTTGAAGCGCCTGTTTCCAGCTCCAGGGCAGCAGTCTGTCCTGACCCCTGCCTGGCGGAGTAGGCACCATGTGCCAGGTAGCAGGTGTGACACCAGCCAATGAGGAGGAATGAGGTCCTGGCCCCACTGATGAGCCCCCTTCCAGGCCAGACTGGCAGGGGCTGAGGGGTATGCCTAAGAGAGGCCATGCCTACCTCTCCTTGGGCACCTGATCGTGGTGCTTTGGGACTCAAGGGACACCCGGGGCTCTGCCTGCAGGAGGGCGCCAGGAGGGGCATCCCAGAGAAGTAGTGTCACCGGTAAACTCAGTTACAGCTTTACACAGCGGATGTGTGAAGTGTGTCTCTCCAGTGAGGAGGGTTCTTTGTGCTACAGCTCACTTCCACACGGCCCACTGATGGGTAAAGGTGGGCGTGCTGAGACATAGGATCCACACTCACACGGGAAACTGTGATTCAGGCAGCCAATGCAGAACATGCCATGGACCATGTGGCAAGGCTTGGCTCTGCCACACTTCTAGTCCCACCCGGCCTTCCGTGGATGTGCAGTGAGCACACTGCTGCTTCAGCTGCCCCCACCTGTCTGGACCCGAGCCACGTGGCACAGCCATGTGGGTGTGTCTTCCAACTGCGTGGGATGGGGCCCCTAGCTCCCTCTGAGTCTCTTTGCTGGCCTCCTGACTGATTCACAAGCCCCTCCCTGGCCTGCGTATGCCACCCAGCGCTCACAGCCCAGGCACCTGGCTGTCAGCACTACAGCGAGCACACCATCCGCACACTGGAAGGTCCTCTTCCAGACATGTTTTTGGATGCTGTTTACGCTCCATCAAGTTCAGCGGTGATAAGACAGGCACCTGCCATGCGTGCACTTGGCCCTGCCTGCCCACCTACCTGCCCGCCCACCCACCCATGGTGGCTGCGAGGCAGTATCGCTGCTGGGGAGGCTCAGGGCTTTTGTGGAAACAACCTGTCAAGGCGGGAAGCCTATTTCCCTTCGGCCTAGTTCCCACTGGCAGGTGGCAGCGCCAGGGATGCAGCAGGAGAGCGGGCAGTGTTACATACCAACTCCGGCTTTCCTTTTACGGTTTCCATACCAAGATCCTCACTCTCTTTAGGGGAGCCACTGGCCACTCTACTTTTCCGTCCCGTCTTCCCGTCGTGTTCGCTTTGCCGGCCCTGAGTGGCAGAGAGTGTCACCCTTGGCTTGTGACTATGTGCACACAGGCTCAACCGGGGACGGGTTAGAGGCGCTTGGTTTAGAAAACAAAGCACACGGATTCCTAGCAGCAGCAGGGAAGGTTAACGCAAGTGAAACCTCTCTGCAAGCCCTCTGGTGAAGCACCTTTCAGCAAGCGTGAAGTTCTGTCTGTACATTTAAACGTCTGTTTCTAAGCTGCCTGTGGCTTGCAATGTAAACTGTATTCAAGAACATCCAGCCTGGAGCACTGACCCCTGCGGTGGACAAATTTGAGGCATGGCTGCCCTGTGTTGGTGCCCCAGGTTGCGGAGCCACCAGGCCCTCCACAACGTCCGGCTCTGAACATGTCCAGACCGTAATGTGTTAGGGGTGATTTCCAGGGACTTGACCTAAACCCGACCACCACCACAACACCCCCAAGCCCACCAGTCCCACCCTCTGAATCAGAACCAAACAATTCTGAGCCACCAGGGCAGGTGCTTTGGTCCCAGGAGCGGCGCTGCCCCGCCCCAGAGCCCCGCGCAGGTGCAGTCGCACACCTTCATCTTGCGTAGCCGTGACTTGTTGTCGTGGCACCAGGCCAGGCAGGTGGCAGTCTCGCGTCTCTCCAGGGACTCCTCCACTTCCTTGGCCGTCAGGAACATCTCGATGTTCACCAAGTCCTGTGGAAGGAAGCAGTGCGCAGTCAGGGAACAGCGCGGGCGGTCCCGAGCTGCAGCACACAGGTGCCGGCAGCCTCCCCAGGGCCAGACCCACATCGAGTGCGGGCCGGGGGCAGCGCAGAGCTGTCTGCACAGCTGCTCTGCGTTTAGGCTCCATCTTGCAGGCGCAGCGAGAGCCTCCGGCCCCAACGAGAACCTTAGGGCCCCTGGAGAGCAGAGACCTGACCCCATTTCACCCCCTAGCAAGGAAGGCCTGGAAAC